TTATTTATTTGATTTGGGGTTTGTTTTAAAATTTCAATTTAGTTTTGTTATTTACATTTACATTATATTTACATTTTATTATTTAGCAGATGCTTTTATCCAAAGCGACTTACAAATGAGGACAACAGAAGGAATCAAAACCAACAAAAGAGCAATAATTTGCAAGTGCTATTAGTATATTATTATAGTGTTATACAGTGGGTACGGAAAGTATTCAGACCCCCTCAACAAAAAGTGAAAAATTGAAGGGGTTCTGAATACTTTCCGTACCCACTGTATTTCAATTTCACAAAGAAACATGCAGCATTTTGTCCAAGCAATAATAAAAGGACACATTGTGTTCATAATTTGTCTTAAATCTAATTTTGTAAAAAAATAAATTGTAAATCGAATCGAACCGTGAAATCAAAATCGTGAATCGAATCGTGAGTTGAGTGTATTACATCCCTAGTAATAATACATAACATATAAAATCTTACAAACTGGTATCGTAGCATCCCAGCATTGCTATGCAAATAGTTTTTATTGGCTGTTCATGATCCAATGCATTATGGGTATAAATCAAAATTATTTGCAAAGGAAATATTAATGTTGATAAAGTAAATAATATATCACTCCTTTATTTAATCCCCAAAAAACCTAAACAGTCTCAATAATCAAGCCGTTTTGATTTTCTGACGACCCACGACCGCTGACCGCTGTCTGTCCCGTATTACACAACAATGTCTCGTAAGCAATGCAGGTGTTTTGTAGTTGGATGTAAAAGTGCACATAACAGTCTTCATTTTCTCCCGACATCAGAGCCTCTGAGGACGCAGTGGATTAGTTTTGTTTTTGATGGTTACACACCACCGAATACACAAAAAACAGAAGAGAGGGGCGGGGTGAGCAGAGCTCATTATCATTTAAAGAGACATGTACCGAAACGGCTCAATGTGAACAGAGCTGTTTTTGACAGGGTAAAAAGGGTGTTGTTTTACCAAAGTATGCTGCAGATATTTCATGAAGACCCTAAAGTATCAAACCAACTTGTGAAAAATGGGCATCCAATGTCCCCTTTAAGTGTTTGTTGATCTAATCTAACTTCATGTTCTCCGCTGATGTTTGTGACTCCAAACAAACCCAGAGCCACGATAATTAATAAAGCAGATGATCTTCAGGACGTCTAGGAAAACATATTAATATTAAAATAAATTAATATTAGCTCAAATGAAAAAAGATATAATGTCGAGCCAAACTGATTGGCTAAATTTTAGCTGTGACACTAAGACCCACATCTGATCTTGGGTCAGTCAACTCATCACAGATGAGACTGTCTGACATCCTGTGCAAGAAGTATAAGTCCAAAACCCTTCTGTCCATAGAAACACATTACTATAGCAACCACATCCTAATGTTAGCAATCTCCTTTTAGAAAGAAGTCATGAAGGAGATATGTTGAGTCTCTCATTTTATCTCTCTCTCTCTCTTGCCATTAATCACACTGACTGGCTTTAAATCAACAGAGTGACATCTGCTCACACATTCACATACAAACAAACTGAATGAACATATCTAGTATCAATTCCCACTAATATGCGCAGTCTTGGCTCAACTATGCTCAGATTCAAAGAGAACTTAATGTGTTTTTTTAATAATAATTATATTTGCTTGGTCTTTGATGATGATGCTGATGCTTCATGATGATTCATACACTGCAGGAAATAGTAACTTAGTTCACAGAATCCAAAACCAGATTTAAAATGTGTTAAATCTCCTGGACATAAATGACCCACAACATCAAAATCAAGGTTTTATTGCTTTTAAGAGTTTGGGGTTAGTAAGATTTTATTATTATTATTATTATGATTTTACAGAAATTAATACTTTATTGAGCAACAATGCATGAATTTGATCCAAAGTGGCAGTAAAACATTTATATAATGTTACAATACATTTATAGTTCATATAAATGCTGTTCATTTGAATTTTCTATTCATCAAATTTAAAAAGAAATCCTAAACATATATGTATGAGTTTTCAGAAAAATATTAAGCAGCACCACTGTTTTCAACATTGATAATAATCAGAAAAGTGTTTCTTGAGCAGTAAATCAGCATATTAGATTGATTTCTGAAGGATCATGTGACACTGAAGACTGGAGTAGTGATGCTGAAAATGCAGCATTGCATCACAGAAATAATGTTCATTTTAAAAAGTATTAAAATAAAACAGTTATTTTAAATTGTAATAATATTTTACTGTATTTGAATATTTTACTGTATTTCAGCCTTGGTAAGACTAAAGCCCTATTCGCATGGGATTAGTATTACCTGGTGACCTTCAGTCATTTGTAATAAGTGCGGAGGTTGTCTGTGATCTTAATCCCGTGCGTATCGGCCATGTCTGTAAAGTAAAAATTCCCCCACAAATGACCTACCATATTTCGCCGAACACCGAGGTCCTGTGCTAATATTAGTCCCGTGCGAATCGCCATCTCTGTGATTCGGCCGGCATTTGGCAGGTCGTATATCATTTTTCGAGGTTTTTGTTTGCTTTGCGCCTTTTTATCCATCTTCCGCGAAGAATGGAGCTGCGTTGGAGTGTTTGATAGTATTTTGGGTGCTGTCATCATATCGCTACACCATACAATTAGCAGAAAGAGAAAGCTGAAAAGGTTTTGAGGTTAATGTGCTACAAATAAATCAAGCATAAAGATTGATATATTATTTTAACCTGGTGAAATGTAAATGACACAGCGAACAAAACTATATTAGTTTCTTTTTTTTAAATCCATCTGGACCATAGAACGGGACTCTCAAAGCCTTGACATCCGGGTATCCGGGAGATAAGTCGGTCAATTCAAGTAAAATCACAGGCTTTGCTTATCCCGTGCGAATGCACCACACGAAATTCAGATGTGGGGGGGTAATTTCAAAATCACACAAGGTCCCCAGATAATACTAATCCCGTGCGAATAGGGCTTTAAGACGTCTTTCAAAATGAATGGTTGTGTATAAAGGTTTGTGCTGTAATATTCACATAGTCAAAAGCTAATCATTTAATATATTCAAATGTATGCAGATTCCAGATTGGTTATGGGGAAATGTAGTTGTACTATAATATGCAAAGTAACTCCTGAATTGCTAAACATGATGTATAATATCTACAGTGATGCAACACTGGATTTCCACTGATGTCATCACAGATCAGAACCCTGATCAATGAAAACATGTCAAGCATTATGACACCCCTAATAATGTCCCAGCGGGTTCAGAACGAGCCAATCAGAGCGAGTGTGTTCCCTCCAAAGCTGTGGCGTGAAAACATTATGAGCTGGCCAAGATAACCCAATTCGCTAATTAAAAACATTCCCCCGGTGGCTGTCATGCCACTGTCGCTGGAATTAAATGACTATGATATCTCGCAACACACCCAGGTTCTGCTCTCTGGTTTCCACAGCAACAAAGAGAGCAATAAACTCCAGTGAATAGATTTGCTGCCAGAGTCTCCCACCCAACACGACTCTCTATCGCGCTTGAAAAAAGATTCCCTTGGCGGCTTTTATTAGCTGGAAGGGTCCGCGGAGATTCACGCCGTATAAACACCGTAAAATATTAGTGTGTGTGAGAAGGTGTGAGTGGTGTTTCCTTTCATGCATCAGAGTGTGTGTCCTGTCGTGATGGCTGTGCTAGTCGTGTGTGGACGCGCTCTGTCAGCTCCAGTTACCTCACACACACAAACGCTCGCGCACACGGTGGGTCGTGATCAGAGCGACGCAACAGGATGAACACAGGCTTGGTGATTCAGCAGACGTGCTACAGTCAAATACATCATCTCCACATTACGGCAGATTATTATGTCATATTCCAGAGAGCTGTGCATGAACTGAATGCACTGCAAGTCGTTTTGGATAATAAATGTTGTGGGTAAACAGTGTCACACATCAGAGATTAGCTACGGGGTGTCTCTGAATCACAGTATGAACTGCTGCATGCAGAGGGAATACAAACCAGTAATCACTTTCCCTCCTGACCTGCAGTGACTGAGCACCAATGCTT